GGAGTGGTGGCTACGCGATACACTGCACGCGTTGCCAGCTTCTTCAGCATAAGGTGGACAGGTATGAGACCTGCTAGGGCTTCAAGACCGCCTGTGGGAGAGGTGCGGAATGCACCTGTGATCCATAGAGCAGCTTTTCGCTGCATCCGTTTCAACTGGTTCATCGCGCCCTTATTACGGGCGCCATTGAGATACCAGAGACGATAGCCGTATGTGGCAATGGGAACCACACACGACCGATATAAGAGGCGGCGCTGTTTAGGCGAGAGACCTCTAGTAGAGTTCCCGAGCATGCGCATGGCCTGCACGGTGGTAAACGCCTTGGTGGCATAGTAGCGAACGTGCTCCTGAAACGTGAGCCCGCGGTCAAAGTAGAAGCCCAAATACCTCCAAAAGGCCTTGGGCTTCAAAGGTGTGATGGGGCGTACCCCAAATCCAGCGAGGGATTGTAGGCATCTCGTCGACGCGAAAAGTGAAACAACTCGGTCTTGTCGTGTTCAAGAACGAGTGCGAAAGCAACAAAGAGAAGGTAGATAATTTTGTAGGCCTTACACAGGCCCACATTATTATCATCCAGTTGTTTGGATTGGGCCAGAATGGTCCCATCATCCACAAAGGAGAGCAGCGTCATGTTAAGTGGCGCCGCTTTGATGTAGAAGAGCTTCATTACCGGAGCAATGAACAGCCCAGAGATAACAGGCGAGAGAGCAGAGCCCTGCCCGACACCCACATCCGCAGACCGCGAGTCGGATTGGAAGGTGTTCCAACAATAAACTGTGGAACGACCAACGAGATAAGAGGCAAAGAACTCCACCAGAACCGGCGAGAACCCTTGCTTGCGAAGTACGGCCATGAACATCTCATGGTTGATAGAAGGGAAAAACTGCGCGATGTCAAAAGCCAGCACGCTAGTCTGGAGACCCTTAACCCACCCCGCTCGCACGAGATGAGTCAGAATCAATCCAGCATCCTTGGTTGACCTCTGGCGGATGCTGCCAAGTTGGTTGGGATGGAAGATATCATGCTTGACGGCGTCAAACTTATAAGTTTACCGAAAGTGATGAGGAGTACGATCGGCCTGAAGGCCTTCGGAACGGCGTAAGAGGGCTTATTCGGTTTCGGAACGATAACCGATAGCGACTCCTTGAATATACGAGGCCAATGACCCACCCTAAGGCATGCATTAGCCAACACGATGAAGAGCGCAAGGACGTGTTTGTCCTTGAGCAACTCTTTTAGGTGGACCCATGTAACGTGGTCCGGTCCTGGTGCAGAGGAGTTGGAGCACCCCTTGAGGGCACTCAACAACTCATGCTCCGAGAAGTCAGCCCACTCGCGGACCGGCTCATCGGGTAGCTCGTCTACAATA